TCTACGGCCCTATGCTGTACATTCTACAAGATTGATGGACTGAACACATCGACTCCAGGCTGAGGGACTGATTACCTCATACTCCTCCTCTCCTTACGCCTTCCTCTTTGTATTGGACTGATGAAAGCCACTGTGTGGCGAAACGTTTCCTGAATAAAGATTCCCATATGCTGCATAAGTGTCTCAATCTTCAACTTGTCGGTTTTTCAAACCATTCATCACAACTGTCAGACACTGCAGCATCATGGGATCTTCTTACAAAGAATTCTTCAACGCTTGTTCAACCTTTGGACAAAGACCTACTTCGACTATTTGGGTGGTACCACTATGATCCCGCCTCCGTCTGCTTCAAGTCACCTCACTACAGTATATAAGCCGCGTCTACGGCCCTATGCTGTACATTCTACAAGATTGATGGACTGAACACATCGACTCCAGGCTGAGGGACTGATTACCTCATACTCCTCCTCTCCTTACGCCTTCCTCTTTGTATTGGACTGATGAAGCCACTGTGTGGCGAAACGTTTCCTGAATAAAGATTCCCATATGCTGCATAAGTGTCTCAATCTTCAACTTGTCGGTTTTTCAAACCATTCATCACACGTGCGAACTGAATCTGCCTAGAATAGGCCAGTAGGCCTGCTGCAGTGTTCCTTCATTTATATGTTCATATAATTTCTTCACACAGTTTATCTATAAAGTGCAATATGTAAAGTCTCCGGAAAATTAATGCATTACCACTAAAAACACTTACGATTATTAGGTTAAAAATTCATAAAATAACAATTCTCTTTCTGAAATCTTGAGACTGTTTACACATTTTGCATCGGCCACTCGAAACCCTCTCCAGGTAAACTCTCCAGGTAGCCGGTGCAAAATGTGTACACAATCTCAAGATTTCAGATAGCTTATCATGAACAAATTAGGTGATTTGCCATTTACTGTAGGGCTCGATTCCATTAATTTTTCTACTTATTATTTGCCAGTTCATTACAATGTTATCTTCATATATATATATATATATATATTATATATATATATATATAATATATATATATATATATATATATATATATATATATATATATATATATGCCACATTGGCAGCACCTACTTGCCATACTCCGTAGCTGAAGGAGGTGGAGCTGCCAGCCACAGGGAGACCCAGAAGATCCGCAAATGTGAAGACCTTCCTCCTTGCTATAACTTCATCGCTATAGGGTGGGAGACCCTTGGAGCATGGGGCAAGTGTGCTCTAAAGTTCCTCAGAGAGCTGAGTGAAAAGCTCATCATAGAAACCAAGGACCAGAGGGCGACCAGCTTCCTCTTTCAGAGACTCAGTGTCGCGATCCAGAGAGGAAATGCCTGCAGCATTCTGGGCACGCGGCCCACCGCCGGGGAGCTGGACGAAGTATTCGAGATGTAGCTCTGAGTAGTTATCTGGGTTGTTTTACTTTCTATTGTATTTTTGCGATTGTCTTTTAATAAAATATATATTAAATATAGGGGGTGGTAGGAGAAAATCCTCAGCTTCAGGGAGAACCTTAAGTTTTCCCTGAAGCAAGTTTATTCTTTTCTCTGAGGATGAGGATCCCCAGGACAGTTCTAGAGGTGGTACCTCCCTAAATATATATATATATATATATATATATATATATATATATATATATATATATATATATATATATATATATATATATATATATATGAATATGCACACGCTCCGATGTTTTAAAGACCTATCAAGCGCAACTCATATTTGACACCTAGACAGAGTTATTCCTGATATCGTAGATTACACATATGTTAAGTACGCTTGGGACACTTTTCTAAAGCACCCCTCAAGGAAGGTTCCTTGATGTTGGTGAGGGGCTCTTGATTTAGGGAATTGGATCTGTGCTCCAGTTCCCCGAATTAAGCCTGAATGCCTTCCACATTCCCCCCCCCCAGGCGCTGTATAATCCTCCGGGTTTAGCGCTTCCCCCTTGATTATAATAATAATAATAATTTTCCAAAGCAGAGTTAAGTGGTGGCACCTACCAGCGCTGGGAAGGTGCCGAGAGCATATAGGCCTGGGCTACTCAACTACTTTGAGCAAAGGTCCACTACCAATATATGCAAAAGTCTAGATACATTTTTTACAATCAATCATGAAAAGCAACAAATCCAAGTATAGGGCAGTGTACTCATTATTTTCTATGAACGGGATTATTACATTATTCTGTCTGATAGAATGATGTATTAATCCCGCTATTGTGTACCACCTGATCCTGAACATGGTAACAGTTATTTAATCAAGCTTTTCCCTGAAGCTCGCGGTCCAACTACAACTGAAGCTCGCGGTCCAACTACAACTGAAGCTCGCGGTCCAACTACAACACTCAGAAGGTCTGGATTCGGACCGTGGGCCACCAGTTGAGTAGCACTGATATAGGCTTTTAAAAAGCGGTCAGAGTCGTCAAGGAAACATCTAAGCACTGTATGCTCAGTTAAACGTTTGACTAATGTCACTAATCTATGAAACTCCAATGAACCACGAGTCATAATATATATTAAGAGATGCGTCAGCATGAGAGCTGACATCCTGACTCAGCCGCTGAAGGCACTGACTTGCTATCTTATTAGACACTGATATTAATACACTAGAAAACATGCAGATAAGGATAACAGCACTAATCCCCTATATTACGAAGGTTCCTTACGTAGATATGTTAAAAGCATTGAACTTGTATTGTTTAGAACTGCGTGGGTTAGGTTAGGTAGAGTTTGTCAGGAAACAGGACAAGTGTTTCCTGACGCGGGGTCTTTATCATATAACCCGCAGCCAGAGCTTTTGGTCATAAAACCGAGGCCTTCCACTGGCTTTCCCCTTCACCATTTATTATGTCTATTTCTCCATAGAATCAGTGGTCACAATAATGAAGTATGCAAATAGGTTATACAAACAGAGGCGATATAAATTAAATAGTGAAAATGTCTAACACAGAATTCGAACCAATCGAATTAATTTGGATTAATTTGTATTAATAAATGATAAACGAAAGCACCGGTAGGTGAAAAAAAAGTTTTAGGTGATTGGCAGTAGCGTATTGAAGCAGGACTTTGACAAACTTTCATAATAGCCTAGGATAATACACAAGTGGAAATGCTTGAATAAGAAGTACCTATCATGGACCAGTAAAAGTACTGCTGTATTTCTGTATTTTTGTTTTCTAAACATGGAGGATAATGGCTGGCAGCACTAATGTCGTGTGAATGTTATGGGTAATTTGGTAAGTGAATGGACACAAAACTAAATAATGATACATTTATTATGGATACGTTTCTCTTACCAGCAGTTTTATCAAGTACTGACTTTATAAAGTTACTGGAGAGTGATCGGTAGCAGTAATAAATGTATCACTAGCCTCTCTTGTATCTATCAACAGAATTAATGACGTCATTACGACAGTTACATCTCATGCTGCAACTCACATTATGTGTACTATAGTCACTTTTTAAAGTGCAGTTAAGTATCTAACGCCACAGAGTATAAGTCTATTGAAAGTTTTATGACAGGTGGAGCCTTGATTCAGCTCCTGGTACCAGGCACAAATGAACCTTCCCCTCACACACCCCTACTACCTTTGTCCCTGTTATGGTATATACATCGAGATGTGTGTATCTTTCAGTGTATATACACACCGAGATTTTACTTCAGTAAATTTCTTAAGGATTATAGCATTCTTCACTGGCATTAAGGTAAAACTTTATCCATATTTAATGACCCTGAGACAGTCGATACCTGGAGATACCTGGAGAGAGTTTCGGGGGTCAATGCCCCCGCGGCCCGGTCTGTGACCAGGCCTCCTGGTGGATCAGCGCCTGATCAACCAGGCTGTTGCTGCTGGCTGCACGCAAACCAACGTACGAGCCACAGCCCGGCTGATCAGGAACTGACTTTAGGTGCTTGTCCAGTGCCAGCTTGAAGACTGCCAGGGGTCTGTTGGTAATCCCCCTTATGTGTGCTGGGAGGCAGTTGAACAGTCTCGAGCCCCTGACACTTATTGTATGGTCTCTTAACGTGCTAGTGACACCCCTGCTTTTCATTGGGGGGATGGTGCATCGTCTGCCAAGTCTTTTGCTTTCGTAGTGAGTGATTTTCGTGTGCAAGTTCGGTACTAGTCCCTCTAGGATTTTCCAGGTGTATATAATCATGTATCTCTCCCTCCTGCGTTCCAGGGAATACAGGTTTAGAAACCTCAAGCGCTCCCAGTAATTGAGGTGTTTTATCTCCGTTATGCGCGCCGTGAAAGTTCTCTGTACATTTTCTAGGTCGGCAGTTTCACCTGCCTTGAAAGGTGCTGTTAGAGTGCAGCAATATTCCAGCCTAGATAGAACAAGTGACCTGAAGAGTGTCATCATGGGCTTGGCCTCCCTAGTTTTGAAGGTTCTCATTATCCATCCTGTCATTTTTCTAGCAGATGCGATTGATACAATGTTATGGTCCTTGAAGGTGAGATCCTCCGACATAATCACTCCCAGGTCTTTGACGTTGGTGTTTCGCTCTATTTTGTGGCCAGAATTTGTTTTGTACTCTGATGAAGATTTAATTTCCTCATGTTTACCATATCTGAGTAATTGAAATTTCTCATCGTTGAACTTCATATAGTTTTCTGCAGCCCACTGAAAGATTTGGTTGATGTCCGCCTGGAGCCTTGCAGTGTCTGCAATGGAAGACACTGTCATGCAGATTCGGGTGTCATCTGCAAAGGAAGACACGGTGCTGTGTCTGACATCCTTGTCTATGTCGGATATGAGGATGAGGAACAAGATGGGAGCTAGTACTGTGCCTTGTGGAACAGAGCTTTTCACCGTAGCTGCCTCGGACTTTACTCTGTTGACGACTACTCTCTGTGTTCTGTTAGTGAGGAAATTATAGATAGGCTTTAAGCCTAACAAACCAAACCCATTAACAACTATTTCACGTCAGATACAGACTAGAATATTAACTAACTCACAAGATGGAAGGGACGGAAACTGGCTGAGTGGAACCAGATGAAAATCTCAAGGTATTGCCTTGTATGAAGCAGCACTAGCAGTGGTGGCCTGTCACAACCAGCACCTATGATTCACTGTCCATATCTCACACTGCTCCTGTTTTTTATACCCTTATCAGTAACGTTTTATCTAATTCTTGGTATAGATATGTCATGCAAAGTAGTCCTTTACACATTTCTTGAGCTTCATCAAATCTAATAAAGCTCCAGCCTAACAAATTCTAGTATAGATTACATTTTTAGTATTAATTACGCATGTTCAAACTACCAATGGTTTCATGGCCCCAATCACCATCTTATCTGATTGTGTTACGAAGTGACTGGCGAGGACTGTTCGGGGAAATTTAGCAGCTGCACACCCACACGCTGAACTGTTCTCAAAATAACAATTACCGGGATTATTTCTTAAAGTATACGCTTCGAAATTGAGGTCACGTAGCCGCTTTTGATGAGTAACGACTGTGTGGTGCAATGACTGTCGCTTTTTATATCTGTCTTTACGATTCTTTGCTTGACTGACATTTAGCGTTTATGACTGACTGCTAGATCATAGGCACTGGGTGTTTACCGCCTCAGATTATAGACTTTTTCTGGGTTGTGAGTGCCACAAATTATAGGCAATGATTTAAACCTGACTTGTTTACGGACATACATCTGGGTATTACTGATTAAGATTATAGATGCTCATGGTTGCTACCGCCTTGACTTACAGACACTTTCCTAGTTCTTACTGCCTAAGATTATAAACACTCCTGGTTACTGCCTTAGATTATAGACAATCATAGTTGTTAAGTAAATTTATTCAGGTATACACAAATACAGTTACATAAATTATCATACATAGCAGCATATGTGTAGAGAACCTAGGATAACCTAAAAAAGTCAGAGTGACTTATTTCCATTGGGGTCGTTTGACTCATTAGATTATAGACACTCGTACTTGTTACTGCCTCAGATTACAGACAATATATCACAGTTATTGCTGTCTTAGTTTACACTCGGTAAGTTGTAAATGTCATACGAACACCGACACGTGTAAGGAAGGCGCAAGAGCGGCATTAAGGCATTTATCAAGAAGCTTAGCTCACCAGGTGGTGTTTATCAATGTGATACGAAGAAATAATGTAGTAGGAGTCTATATACAGCACGTACACGGTCAGGTGCTGCATTTGGGAAGAGGGGAAGCTACTACGTGATGACTGAGTTCCGGTGAATGCCTAGTAAGGGAGTCGAGGGCACTACCACACACACATCAAACTGGATTATAACTCTACAACCATGGTGAATGTACTCGTAATCCATGCCGTAAGGTTCAGCACAATTTACACTTATTATTCAAGTGAATACACAACTTTAGTAAATCTAAAACACATGAGTAACACTCAGTGTGGAAAATACTGTATATATTTTCCAGAAATTCAGTATTTATATGTAAATAGATGGCCATACTGTATTTAATAATATTTATGTCATAGAAAACGGAAAGCCTGCGTCTGCGCAGACGGGACTCGCCATCTTGGTTTTGAATTGGATACGTTAATATAATGGGAAGAATTTTTTCGTGCTCTAGAGGTTAAAATTGGATTGACACCTCTCAAATAGGAGGCGAAATTGTTGGATGTGCATTCCTGCATAACTTGAGATATCAGACGACTGGACAAGACACCTCCATGAACCTCAGATAAGCTCTAGATTTGTGTATAATTCCGGCCAGTGTTTTCATAAATTTAGTTAGTGAGGTTTTTCTGAGTATGATACAACTTAATATCCAGTCAAATTGGTGAGTGATATTAAGATATATTTTCCTTCTGTTATGTCTATGTGAATTTATATATAATCATTTTTAATATACAGTCCACAAATTTATATATTTACCAGCATTCCTGGTGTATGAATATTTCATTTAACTAATAGGTCCAGGTCAACTTGTGGATATGACAGTGGTAAGTATCGAAGGGGGACATTTTTTGCGACCTAAGTGTCCCAAATTCCTACTTGTCTAACTGATAAATAATAGTTATCATTGTTCATTTACTGTTGTGTATATAATTATACATCCAAGTAAATGCAATTTTCCACACTCATTGTGTCTCAGACTCAGCGTTACAACCTAAAATATACATCATCGAAGAAGTAGGCAGGTGTACAGTCAAACAGCCACAAACAGTCAAGATAAAGTCTAGATGACAGCCAGTGGAACAGAAACACCTAAGAAACCTAGAGAGGATCGCACATTCTTACAGTAACACAGCCAAGCCTATTATAATTAGGAACCATGTAGGTGACACTCTCCAGAACTCGAAAGAAAAGACGGTGGATGAACACCAACACCATTATTTAAGTAAAAGGACACAAGTGCAACTAATGCGATGTTTTATTGTCTTTCACCCGAGCCCAGTCACGTTAGTCAATACTGTAAATACCGAATTACAGAAAATATCTACCTAGATGAGTACTGTGGAAAATTGCATTTATCTGAATGTAACTAATTATGTACATAACAATAAATGATAACAAAAATAATTATTATTTATCAATGTTACATAGACAAGTAGGAATTTGGGACACCTAGGTGGCAAAAAATGTCCCCCTTCGATACCTACCACTGTCATAACCACAAGTTGCTCTGGACCTATATATTTACCAGGAAAACTGGTAAATATATAAATTTGTGGACTGTATATTAAAAATAATAAATGGTTATATATATACACAATTACATAACAGAAGGAAAATATATCTTAATATCACTCACTTATTTGACTGGAGATTGATGTGTATCATACTCAGAAAACCTCACTCTAACTAAATCTATGAAAATAATGCTGGCCAGAATTATACACAAATCTAGAGAGCTAATCTGAGCTTCCTGGAGCTGTCTTGTCCAGTCGTCTGATATCTCAAGTTATGCAGGAATGCACATCCACCAATTTCGCCTCCTATTTGAGAGGTGTCAACACAATTTTAACCTCTAGAGCACGAAAAATTCTTCCCATTACACCAACGTTTGTACAAATATCAAAACCAAGATGGCGAGTCTCGTCTGCACCGACGCAGGCTTTCCGTTTTCTATGACATAAATATTATTAAATACAGTATGGCCATCTATTTACATATTTAAATACTGAATTTCTGGAAAATATATACAGTATTTTCCACAAGTACTAACAAACTTACTTTAAACATTGACAAAACCTACTTCATTCAGTTTGGCAACAGAGCTACAGACGTCCCTCTTAATATAATGATAAACGGATCACCTATCACAAAATTCACAGAGGGAAATTTTTTAGGAATCCACCTTGATAATAGACTCAAATTTCAAACACATATACAACAAATTTCCAAAAAAAATTCTAAGACCGTAGGCATACTATCGAAGATACGGTACTATGTTCCACAGTCAGCCCTCCTGGCCCTATATCACTCACTTATTTACCCCTATCTCACCTATGGAATTTGTGCATGGGGCTCAACAACAATTAACCATTCTCAGACCATTAATTACCCAACAAAAGGCTGCAGTCAGAATGATAACAAATTCTCACTACAGGCAGCACACTCCACCAATATTCAAAACTCTAAACCTACTCACCATACAAAACATCCATACTTATTACTGCGCCTACTACATTCATAGAACACTTAACTCTGATATTAACCCTCCCCTCAAACATCTCCTTACCAACCTCAACAGAACACATGACCATAACACAAGGCACAGATCACTCTTTGATGTTCCTCGTGTCCATCTCATGCTATGCAAAAACTCAATGCACATAAAAGGCCCTAAAATCTGGAATTCATTACCTGTGAATATAAAAAGAAACACTATCTGTTTATAAATTCAAGTCTCTTCTCAAAAATCACTTACTCACCCACAAGTAAATAAATACTGAATAATTGTATCTCATAAATTGTATCTCATAAATGTTTCTCATTATTGTATCTCATAAATGTCTAACCTGTGACCCAAACTTTATTTTTTAATTACATTACCTAACAGAATACTCCACTCTACTGAATGCTCAGCAACAGAGTAAATGACCATATGACCTGTCTTTGTAATACTCATTTGTGCTAAATTGTTATCTGTTTACAATAATGTTTTTACCACTGAATATATCATTACTTAGTTAATCTTAAGTTAATTTTAAGCCAGCCAGTAATGCTATGCATACAAGGGGCTTTGGCATGTTGCACTGTAATAACTTTGTACCTCACTGTATCATGTTCAAATTAATAAATAAATGAATAAATAAAACGTTTCGCTCTCCAGGAGCTTTGTCAAGCCGTTTCGCTCCTGGAGAGTGAAACGTTGCTACAATCAAATGTCGCATTAGTTGCACTTATAATAATACTCTTTATTTCTACAAGTACATGTACAAGGTATACAGTCGTAGCTGACATCAATGACATACTGCTATATAGAAAGCCGCTTGTTATGCAGAGCATTTCGGGCAAATTAGATCACTTTTGTTCCCAGGATGCGACCCACACCAGTCGACTAACACCCATGTACCTATTTTACCGATAGGTGAACAGGGACAACAGGTGTCTCAAGGAAACTTCCTAATATTTCACCTATTCTGGGAATCGAACCACGGACTTCAGTGTGTGAACTGAGTGCACTACCATTCGAGCAACGGGAGGTGGCAGTCTTCAGACGTCAGTAAAAAAGAGGGTGAATGAATGCCAACAACATTATTCAGTTGTCAACATACAGAACAGACTTTGGATAAGAAGCTGAATGCCAAATGACCCAAGAACTTGCAAGTTCAGTTGGAAGAGATAAGATAAGATAAGATTTCTAACCCCGGAGGGTTAGCCACCCAGGATAACCCAAGAAAGTCAGTGCGTCATCGAGGACTGTCTAACTTATTTCCATTGGGGTCCTTAAATCTTGTCCCCCAGGATGCGACCCACACCAGTCGACTAACACCCAGGTACCTATTTTGCTGCTAGGTGAACAGGACAACAGGTGTATGGAAACGTGTCGAATGTTTCCACCCGCCGGGAATCGAACCCGGGCCCTCCGTGTGTGAGGCGGGAGCTTTAGCCACCAGGCCACCGGGCCTGGTGTTTATCTG